CATGAAACACAAAGTCGTAAAGACGACTTTTCATAAAACACAAAAAGTCGTAAAATAGAATAATATATAGAAACCTACTGTGTAATTTTTATCAGATAAAGAAAAAATATCAAATTTCAATCTCATTTTAAATACAAATGTGAATGGAAAATGTAAAAAGTAAAACACAGGGAGTAAAACTTAAGTTTAAATTAATTATTTTTTTAAATGTTCAAAATATGTTTGTTTATAGAGATTGCATTTTTGTTTTAAAAAGCTTTTGTTTTTAAATATGTAGTATACTTTTTCAGTTTTTGTCATACGTGTATATTTTTTTAATATCAGAAATATATGCAATTTTCTTATTAATTATAATAATTTTTTTTCTATTACTATTGTTTTAAAAAACACATAAATTCGATTTAAACATGTATGTATATATATATATATATATATGTATGTATGTAATTTTATAAAGTTGATATATTTTTATTATTTTCCAAGACATTTATTGGTTTAACATTTATTAATATTATTATTTTTTTTTTAATAATTTAAAACATCACTTTCAGTTACATTTAATTAAAATTATTATTATTTTAATTTTAGTACAGTTTTATACTTTTTAATAATTGTAAAACAGCAGTTCTCAACAGTTGACAAGTGTCATAAAAATATTGTTGTTTTTTAGTGTATTTAAACAAGAAAAATTTTATTTTAATAAAATTTTCTAACTACATTTGTTTAAAGTTTTTTTTTTTTGATGTTGTGTAAATTTTAACTATTTATGTTTACATTTGTATAAATGGTTTAATTGAATACCTTCTTTTCGTAAAATAAATCGTTTTCAAAATTTAATATGACAACTTTTCTTCGGCCCGTATTCAGAAACAAGTTTAGTTCGTGTTTCTGAATAATGACCTTAATCTGAACATTGGACTTTATTATTATTGTTAACAACTTAATTGCACAGCCCTACAAAATTAAATAGAATATAAAGTATACATTTCTAAAGAGGGTTTTCGAGATGTTTGTCTAAAAATAGAAATGTTCGTTTTTGCCATATTGGAGGCATTGTAACAGCGCGAAGTTACCTTGATTATATTTGTTATGTCGTCTGAAAGTTAAGTTCTATCTTCGTCCTCTTAACCTATGACATCTCAGACGCAATAACAAATTTTATACTTAAAATCGACTTTGCACTCTTATAACGTTTTGAGTATGACAAATAACTTGTTTTTAATTTAAACTAAGATTTCTCGAAACCTTGATGTCATGATAATAGATTCCGTTCCCGGGCAGCTCAAACCTTTAAAATTAATGTTCTGAATTAAAAAATTTTTTGGTCTGTGTGATAAATTTAAATATTTGCATTAAAGTTAATAAAATTTATTTTATAATTATTTAGTGTAGTAATCTTTGGATAACCAGTTCGTTTAGCAAGAAGAAATATAACATATCCATTCTTTGAGTTACAATTTCTCCAGATAACATATTCTTTGAAGTTTTATTTAAAATAAATTCTTTCTATTAAAAAATGGTCCTTCGATCCCGTAGATGTTATACATAAGTATATGCCTTCCTTCTTGCCGTTTGTGTATCGTTGTAATCGCCAAAAGTTTTTTTTTTAAATTGTATTCGTTGTCATTATGCTAAAAATTTTTTCTATTTATTTGCAATTAAATTAATAATTTTATATCATATAAATTGACTTATAAAAGTTAAATTAAAAGTATACTATATTAAAAAATAAAAATTACATTTAATTTTTTAACAACAGTGTAACGCACAAATATACAGATGTAAATATTTTGTTTTATTTTTAAATATAATTTTGTTTTTTTTTTCAAAGACCACATTTAATCTTATAGGCTAATTTTTTAGTTTATAATTACTAAAATCGTATACAAATTAGTTGTACGAATATACAGGGGTTTGTCAATTTTAGATTTGTATGCTTAGGATTTTTCATTATATCGTGTATCAAGTATGCTTACGTGTATATATATATATATATATATATATATATATATATATATATATATATATATATATATATATATATATATATATTTTTTTTTTTAAAACTGCTGAGAGGTTATGTCAAAGTTTTAATTATTTTATTTGCTAATAATCTGGCCTTATATTTAGAAAACACCTCGGCTAATAAAATTACTTTTAGTTTTTAAAGTGGAATTGAAATTTATAATTGTTAGTTTTTCTTTCAACGTTTTACTCAATATATTTTTTCGAAAAACTTTACTTTAATAATTTATTGAATAAAAAATAATAATCATCATCACATTCATAAGGTATTAAAAGTCACTATAAATATCAAAATCGATCGGAATAATAACTGCGGAATTGAAACCATTTCAATAGATATTTAATTTTATGAGTCGATCATGGCTATTAACCAAACTTCAATTGGGTTGCCAATTAACTTTCCTTATTTGCCAAAAAGTTATCGATATTGTGTCATCTGTGGTGATTTTGACAGACTAAGTGAAAAATGTAAACATATAAAAAAAATATATGGATGCAATTTTAAATTAACGTTAAATTTGTGAAATAATTATAAAATAAATTCAGAAGGTGTACATTGAGAACCCTTTTTTAATCACGCTTATAACCAGCCATGGAAATGACAGCCCAACCACTTCAATTTGTGTAGGTGTAGCCTCAGCTATGGCAGATATTGTGCTCTATAGAACCTACATTATCTCACCAAGTCAGGCTTTAAATATCTGAAGTTCATAGGTTTAAAAAGAGTCTAGTCCTATAGTCTAGTCTATAGTCTAGTCTATAGTCTAGTCTATAGTCTAGTATATAGTCTAGTCTATAGTCTAGTCTATAGTCTAGTCTATAGTCTAGTCTACAGTCTAGTCTATAGTCTAGTCTATAGTCTAGTCTATTAGTTTAGTCTATAGTCCAGTCTATAGTATAGTCTATAGTCTAGTCTACAGTCTAGTCTATAGTTAGTCTATAGTTCTAGTCTATAGTCTAGTGTATAGTCTAGTGTATAGTCTAGTCTAGTCTAGTCTATAGTCTAGTCTATAGTCTAGTCTATCTGCTAGTCTATAGTCTAGTCTATAGTCTAGTCTATAGTCTAGTCTATAGTCTAGTCTATAGTCTAGTCTATAGTCTAGTCTATAGTCTAGTCTATAGTCTAGTCTATAGTCTAGTCTATAGTCTAGTCTATAGTCTAGTCTATAGTCTAGTCTATAGTCTAGTCTATAGTCTAGTCTATAGTCTAGTCTATAGTCTAGTCTATAGTCTAGTCTATAGTCTAGTCTATAGTCTAGTCTATAGTCTAGTCTATAGTCTAGTCTATAGTCTAGTCTATAGTCTAGTCTATAGTCTAGTCTATAGTCTAGTCTATAGTCTAGTCTATAGTCTAGTCTATAGTCTAGTCTATAGTCTAGTCTATAGTCTAGTCTATAGTCTAGTCTATAGTCTAGTCTATAGTCTAGTCTATAGTCTAGTCTATAGTCTAGTCTATAGTCTAGTCTATAGTCTAGTCTATAGTCTAGTCTATAGTCTAGTCTATAGTCTAGTCTATAATCTAGTCTATAGTCTAGTCTATAGTCTAGTCTATAGTCTAGTCTATAGTCTAGTCTATAGTCTAGTCTATAGTCTAGTCTATAGTCTAGTGGCTACTCTATAGACTAGTCTATAGTCTACTCTATAGTTTAGTCTATAGTCTAGTCTAATATATAGACTAGTCTATAGTGTAGTCTATAGTCTAGTCTTTAGTGTAGTCTATAGTGTAGTCTTAGTGTAGTCTATGGTCTAGTCTATAGTTTAGTCTACAGTCTAGTATATAGCCTAGTGTATAGTCTATATTCTAGTTTATGGTCTAGTTTATAGTCTAGTCTACGGTCTATTCTGTAGTGTAATCTAAAGTCTAGTCCATAGTCGGTAGCCTAGTCTATAGTCGAGATTCAATATTCTTAATTTTTTATAAAATTTATTAAAATTTTGTATTTAATTGATAACTTACAAGATTTCCACGTATTGATTAAATTTTACGTTTTTTAGCGACAAAATCTTTATCTGACGGTTTCTAGCGGTTTTTGTGGAATGTTTTAATGGGAAATAGTAGAAAAATATTGGCAACACTGCTAGAGTCCAAAGTATTATCACATTAAGTTTTTGAGATATCATGTCCTTTAGATTTAATAACCCCCGTTTTTGGACATTATAACAGCGCGAAGATATAAAATTTATTATGTCGTCTAAAATTCCAATCTGTCGACTTTACAATAAAGGTTATATCTTCTTTCGAGATTTAATAGTGACGTTTTAGGAACTTTAAAATTAAAATATCGTAAATAAACGTTGATCTTGCTTTTAGTTATAATAAAATGTAAGGACTTAAACAATGTGTTTGTGGTATTAAACAATATCCTCTTAAATTGTTAGCAAATAAAATAATTAATACTTAATTTAATACATTTTATTTTCTTCATGTACTTATGTACTTTTCTTTCAATATTTTATATGTATATGTTTGTATGTATGTGGTTGCAAATATGTAGTACATTTTATTAACTATTGTAAATATATCAATTTAGTTTGTTTGTTTTTTTAATATTTAAAGTACAAAGAATACCTTTTTAGTTTAAATGTTTTCTTTTAATGTGTATATATGTATGTATATTCTGTTTTTTTTTTTTTTTTGTTTAATCACAACCAAGATTTACTTACATCAAGTTGTATTATGGTTTATAAATTTATAAATAAAAAACATGCATATTAAATACATTAAATTAACCTAAAAAACATTTAATAATATTAAATAAAAATGAATAAATTAAAACTAAATAAATATACATACCAGTTTGATGAAAATTAACAAAAAGCATGCATAGACAGGGTTGTTAAGAAACAATTAAACTTCTCCAGTCATTACTAAATTCTGCAAGTCAAGTCTTACTGCTATAGAATCTGGAACTTTTTTAAAAAAGTTTTAACTCCCACAAGTAGAGCATTAACTAATTGAAACCATTGTAAAATTGTTTTTTTTTTTAATCACTTGTTTTATTTAAAGTTATTTTCTTAAGAAAATTATACAAATTTAATTTTTCATAAACACTTTTAGTTTGAAATAGTGGGTGGACGACGACAAAACTATATGTATATTGTATGTAGGTATATATTTAAAATTTATTTATATTAATAACGAAATAAGTTTTGGATTTTAAAGATTATACAATTATATGATTTGTATGTATGTAAAATTGTTTCAAAAACATTTAAAGTAGGTTCACCATTAAAAATTTCTAAAATTAAATATATATTTTACTTTATCTTTTTTTGTTTTGTATCTCAGAGTCTGGACGTCAGTTTTTCTTATTTAGCTTTCAATTTAAAGTTATTGAAATTTAAAAAATATGTATTTCGTTTTTGTTTAAATCCTCTTTTTTTCACATTGAAAGTGCACATTTATAAATGTTATTTTATATTTCTTGTTATAATTATGATTTACTTGAAATTTCCTTTATGAGTTTATATGCCAATATGTAATCTTTTTTTTTTTTTTTAATTGTTTCGTATTCAAAATACGTTTCTACTTATGTTCCTTTCAGTATAATTAATTAGTTATATAACTTTTTTTTTTATAGCAACAAAGAATATATAATAGATAAATTGTTAAAAAAATATGTATGTATATAAAATAGTATTATGTTTTTATTAAAATTAAATTTAAATTGCGTTCAATATTGAAGTATTGAATCGAAGTCCGTAAAATGTATGTTGTCGCTGTTGGGTGGGAATATAGAGAAGAGAAAATAAAATAAATTAAATAAAATTATAAAAATTATAAAGTAATTAACTAAAAAATAACTAAAAATATATTTACTTTACTAGGGGAAGAAATTTTATTTAAGTTTGGAAAATTTATATAGTTTATATGTTTTCAAAACTTAAGTAAAACTTAGAGAGAGCTGTTAAGCCCGCTCTTAGAATATTTAATAATTAACTACATAGTATGTTACAAGCTTATTTAAAATGCGTGCTAAATGATAGAATTTTAAAAAGGCAATAGACTATATAAACTTTTGTTTAACTTTATTTAAAGAGACGTAGTTATTAAGTTTAATTGAACATTGTTTTTTTACTTTTCGATTTTCATTTTAAGGGTCTAATTAGTTTTTCTTTCAAAGGCTTTAACAACCGATCGTAAATTAAACCCATTCACCACCCCATTTAGAGCCTTATTCATAAAAATTTATCACAGTTTTATAAGACAATTTTTCATATAAACCTTTAATAAACTGTTATGAATAAGGCAGCTAGAGTTTGAGATATGATATACATACATATCTCAAACACATAGTTTATTTTCTAGACGTAATATATATCAAATGAAAGGTCTTTTGAATAGCTTTTTGGATACATTACTAAGTGTATTTACATATATAGAACAAAATATTTGAAATATATTCAAAATTCTTGTAATTTTTTTTCTCACGAATTTGTTCATAGTAAACGGAACTATAGATCGACTTTTTAAAAGTTATAACCCTACTCTACATACAGACGGACAACTCTAAATCGACTTCGTTTTATAGAAGGATTCATCATATAGACACTTAATAAGGCGGCAAAATTAAATTGTGGAAATTGCAAAAGTATAATAAAACTAACATTTTAGTTTAAAATGAGAATGCTTGTTACATCGGCATAACTATCGGTCTCTAGTAGTAAACGAACCCACGGCCTTCATACTACAACACAACCAACTAATCTATGGACTAGACAAAAATGTAAAACGTTAAATTTAAATTGTTGTAAACGATACAACATCGATTGTGCATTGGACAACTATCTTTTTAAACTGTTAAACAAAAGTTAAATATTTAAAGCATAGCAAACAAACTATAAATATAAAAGTACATAAAAAAATTTTAAAAGACTTTGTTATATAAAAGAAAAATAATATTTTTTTTTTTATAATAAATATTAAGTAAATTTAATTAAATACTTTTATTTCATTGTTTTAAAGACACATACATTTATTATTAGTTGAATTTTTGTTTTTAAATATTTATTTTATTTATAAATATATCTTTAATAACAAACATGCATTATTTTGTTTTTTTATATATATATTGTGTATTTAGTGAGTCTGTGTTGTGTTGAAAAAAAAACTGTTTTATATAATAATTAACATAAGTTGTTATTATTATTATTTTATTGAATTCTTGTAAAATTGTCTTTTAAAATTTTTATTTTAATTTTTTGTTTTTCATTAATATAAATCTTTGGCTGCTTTATTTTTGCTAAAAGTATATTACTGAAGCATTTAAGATTTATAGATGCATAATGGTGCTGTTTTGTAAGCTAAATTTAATAATATAAAATGTTAAAAGGTGTGAAAAAAGAAATTTGTTTAGAAAAATAAGAAATTATTATTTGCATTTATGTACGAGTTAAAAGCATTTGATATGTTAAGATGTTTTTATGAAATGTAAAGAAATTATAATAGAAATGGAAATACAAATACTAGCAACAATACTTTGAATTTGTTTTAAAGTTGATATTGTAAATATGACTAATTTGGTATTTCTTTTAAAGCTAAAAGTTTTTCTGAAAAAAAATCTATTTAAAATATCTTATTACTTTTTCCTATAGTTAAAAGAAAACACTTTGAAATAACCAGATAAAATAGTTTATTCATAGGCTACAGCTTTTAGTTGCTTAAGTTTGTCATTTTTTTTTGTTTGCAAGTTTATTAGCGCAAAGCAAAAAAAATTTCTTGAAGACTGTGTGACAGGATTTGAAATTTTATTTTCTTTTAAGAAATTTTTTAAATTTCTATTGCTTTTACTTTCAAGCAGAACAAAATTATAGAATCCAACAAAATTTGAAAAAGTATCCGGCATCAGATTTTTTCCATCACATCAGGTTTTGCAGATATCATGTCATGACGATTTAAAAATTCCCGTTATTTGCCATATTTGAGATGTTATAACAGCTCAAAGATGCTTTTATTTATAAAATTTGGTATGACATCTGAAAGTCAAATCTGTCGACTTTAAAATAAAGCTTTAACCACCGTTATATCTTCTTCTTTCTTCGAGATATCTTAACGTTTTAAATTGAAAAAAAAAAATAAATTGTCTTTATTTTACAGCTAAAACTTCGACGGACGATATCTCAGCAAAAACAAAAGATTTTTAAACATGTAGGATTTTCATAAAATAAAAGCGAAATGAGGTAAAAAATTAAGTTCTTGTAAATTTACGGTTGTTCCAAGCTTTAGGTTCATACATATATATTGTAATATGAAGTTGTCTTCATTTTACGCAGCTTCGAGCTATCGATTAGACTTCGAGATGACATTACGAAATTTATAAATAAAGTTGTCTTTTTACTGTTACAGCGTCACAAATATGGACAGAAATGTTTTTTTCAAACTTTCTGTCAAGATATCTGGAAAATCTAATATAGTGAGTAAATTCAGAGGCCAGGTTAGGCGCTGCTCAATCCATAGATACTTGAAAACTATGGATAGCTATATCCATAGTTGGCACTATCAGTTAAACAGTGTAGACATTTTTCTTAGCAGCGGAAAGTCATTGAGCAAGCAAGTAATTGATTACCAACTTTTGTATAGGAGGAGCAGATAGAACATTATATCGCCTATGTGCTATTTGTACCAATTTCTAAGATTAGATTGTGGTATTAAAATGTTTTATATCGTTTGTCAGATGGATCTTGAAAACAAGGGTTTATTTCCCTGACGTAAGGGCTTTAATACAGAGCAGTACAATACACATGAGTTTGCAGATGAAATAGCTAAAAAAAAAAATTTTTTGGAACTATACCTAACTAGAAGAGACAGATGATTCAAACTTTTGACTTATATTTATTATTGAGTATTCTTGTAAAAGTAAACTTATGGATTTAATAGCGGTCAACTTTGTTAGTATTGCCAACTTTTTTGGTCAAAAACATAAACAATGAACAGCTGTTTTTTGAAAATATTACTTTTGTAAAATGAAAATGAAAAAGAAAAAAAAAATTAAAATAAACATTTAAAACAATAGTAATATTAATAAAATAACTCAGAAAATTACTAAAGGGATTCATAAAACACGTGCAAATTTGCAAATTTGCACAAATGGTTATCTGTGTTATTGAGAAGTAAAAATTCAATAGGGGGATTTATGAAACAGGTGTGCAAACTTACACTTTTGCAGAGACAAAATTTAGTTGAAATAGGCGATCAAATGTATCAGTGTTATGGAATTCAATGTAAAATCGAAAATTCACAAGATTGCTAATTTAAATGTTTATATGAAAACCCTTACTTAAAAAATTAAGTTTTTCTTCTTCCGCATTGATTATTTTATTGTTTTTGTTGATTATGTTTTCTCACTTAGAACTTAGTTTTAATCGGCCAATAACACTCAGTTAAACTAAGATAATAAGGTCGGGTTTCTTACTACTCAGTTAAACTAGGCTTAACTAGTAACAAAATTTAGGCGAATTTTAACCGATGATTGTTTTTCATTTATGGATTTAAGAGCAGTTACTTAAAAAAAAATAAGTTTTTCTTCTTCCGAATTGAATATTTTATTGTTTTTGTTGATTGGATGAAAACCGCTAAATATAGATTAAACTAGTTTTAAACAAAATCTTTATCAGAAAAATTCACCCTAAGTAACGAAACTGATTACTGAAAAACACAAAATACAGATTAAACTTGGTTTAAATGTAGATAATCTTTGTTAGAAAAACCCGCCCTAAGTAACGAAACTGATTAGGGCGGGTTTTTCAGATAAAGATAATCTACATTCTTTGGTTAAACCTAGTTTAATATATGTTTTGTGTTTTTCAGTAAACAGTAACGTTACTTATTATCTTAGTTTAACTGAGTGTTATTGGCCAATTAAACTTAAGTTATAAGTGAGAAGACACAATTAACAAAAACAATAAAACAATGATTTCGGAAGAACAAAAATTTAATATTTTAAGTAAATTGCAATTTTCTGATTTGTTTTGTTTTATTTATTATTGTTTTAAATGTTTATTTAACATTTTTCCAAAATTTTTCATTTTACAAATGTATTATTTGCAAAAAACAGCTGTTCATTATTTATGTTTTTGAGTGAAAAGTTGGCAACACTAACAAAGTTAATTGAACTTAAATCCATAACTGAAAAACACAATCATTGGTTAAAGTCCGCCTAAATTTGTTCCGAGTTTAATCTAACAACAAGTTAAGCCTAGTTTAACTGAGTAGTAAGAAACCCGCCCTTAAAGTTTAATTAAGTCTGAAGGCGGAGACGGTCAATATTTGTACCTTCTATTAAATTAAAGAATTGAATATTTGGGACACAATTATACAGTCAAGAGAACTAAAACAAGATCAAAATGTGAATCATGGATGGCTGATATGACTCTTTTATTTCCGGAATTTTCGGAATCAGCACACCTAAGAAGACTGGGTTCAGTGAAAATTATTTAAAAAGCTTTTTCTTTGTTGGCCGGTGTCATTATTTTAAAAAAGACAAGGACCATAATATTTCTAATTTTGAAAAGAACCATAATGGATTAAAGAAACAAAATTGGACAAAAATGTTAGCTTCTTGGTAAATGAAATATTAAACTAAAAGATTAATAACAGTTCAAACTTGCAATTATATTAAAAACAAACTTAAAACTGAAGTTGTTAATTAAAATTTAAACAATAAAACTAAATTTCAAAATTTAACAACTAAAATTTCAAAAAATCCTCTGAAAGTTAAGCTTAATTTAAGAAATTTAATTTTAAAATAAATTCAGAATAAGTATAATAAAACATAATATCTATGTTGCATTTGAAGCTTAAAAAGATGGACGAAAAACATAAAAAATGCAAATGAAAATTATGAAAGTATGTATTTAAAAAACCCAATATGAGTACAAAAAATGTATTTTTTTTCGCATTAAGGATTGCATGAAATGAGTATGCAAATTGTTAGAATGGAATGAATGAATGAAAGTATTAAAGAGAAAATAACTCAAACAAACTTTTTAAAGTAAAACCAACCAAATAAAAAAAAAAACAATTAAAAAGAAAGAAAAACATTACTAAACAAAATGTAAATACCTTTTATTTGGTTTGATAATTTCGTTACGCACATATGAACGTTTTTGTAGAAGAAGAAAAAGGCACGACAAGAGCAAAACTTTGGAAATATGTAGTAGTTCAACAATAATAATTACAATATATACAACAAATATTAATTTTTTTAAAAATTTGACGAACATATACACGTTTAATTTAGATAGATCAGACTTTTTCTTTTTGATTTATTTCCTCTTTTTCTCTTGTTTCTTTTATTACCACTGCAGTTTTTTTTTTTTTTTATTATAAATTTAAAAAGAAATTCTCATTTAAAGTATACAAAGTGTATCCCAGTCAACAGCTGTATCATTCATTCCCATTCCATTTGTATAAATATCGAGATCATTTAGGCAAATATTATTGTCACTATTGGTTTTTTTATTTTTCGTTTATTGATATTGAAGAAGAATAGAAGAAGATTTTCAGAAGACAGTAGAAGTTTTATTGCCCACAGAACACCATATTAAAGTTGTTGTAAAATTAAGAGAAAAAATATAAAGTATAAAAAAAAAAACAATAAATAATTAGAAATTACTTGGGAGTTTTTGAATAGAAAACTTAAACCATAGAACACAAGCATTTGGCAAACAAATGGAGTAACAAAACTAATGAAATTTAGTGAGTTTTAGCAGTGTCTCTATTAAAACAAATTTACTTTATACAAATTCAAAGTATTGCTAAATGTTGGGGATTAAAAATTTTATAATTGTTAAAGAAAATCCAAATGTATGATAACTTAATGATGTCATGAATTCAAGCGAAATATTATTAGTTTAGTGTTTAGAAATAAAGCAAAAGAAAAATAGTTATATAGTTACTACTTACTTTCCCATTTGCATATCTTGTGGATGTGGGGATTGAATATTGTGTTGAGGTGTAACACCGCCAACACCTTCTATGGCTGGTACATTTACTCGTATAGTATTTGGTACATAACCATCACGACGGGCATTTTCATCTGAAAGAGAAATATTTAACATTGAAGTGATTTTTTTGCCATGAAATCATATGTTTTTGTGTAGAATAGGAACTCATAATTTGAAAAGTTCATTTAAATTAACTTTTGGTAGCATATAAAAATTACTTTCAAAACATAACTTATAGCTTTGAAACACATAAATAAAGTTTCAATTATGAATACAACTTTAATAGTGATTATTATAATTGCAATATGTACACGTTTTTGATCAAAGAATAATCTAAATTTTCCAAAATATCTCTTACCCATTCTTTGTGTATAAAATTCACCAAAAGCTTCATCGCGCATACGATTCGATGGATAAACAAAACGTAAAACTTCCAGATCATGTATACGATCAGCTAAGCCGCGTATATTTAGATCACGTGCTGTCCATGGTGACAACATTAACACTGAACTTTGTTCGGTAACAAAACCAACAGTTATTCCACCTGCAGTATTTAGAAATAATAAGAAAACGAAAAAAAAAAATAAATCAACAAATAAATGCAAATCCCTACAAAAGAAAAACGTTTAATCAACTTACCTAATTCACTGTCTGAGAAACGTAATAAGAATGTACCCAAGGGTAAAATCCGTAACATTTCCTCAGCTTTGCGTTTGTTAATGAAACCCACAATTAAACCGGCCTTCCATAGACTTAGCAAATGATCTTTGGTTAATTTCATAATGGCAAAGAACCAATCCCAAAAGGTAAACGAACGATCGGGCAACGGTTCTTTGCAGAACTGTGCCCAAGATATATAATCATCATCGCCATTCATACCATTACGGCGGAACAGTTTTTCATCTGTAAGTTTAATATACAAAAATAATTTAGTAAATAATGAAAATCATATTAACTTACGCAAGAAATTTAAATTTTCTTCGGTTAAAGCACGACCCGTCGATGATTCAAATTTGGTATTTAATGCCATGGCTAACTGAGACCAAGCAACTCTTTCGGGCACTTGAAAAGGTTCACGTACAATATCAGAGAATGCATTATCCCATGTGATGGTGGCCCATGACTGTGGCTCTTGATTACCGTGCACTATAACGACTACGGGTAAAGAAATTGTCCAAACCTAAGGAATGATGAAATGAAAAAAATTTTAAATATTATAGCTTTCAGTAAATCGTAACAAAAATCTAGTTTAGATGATATTTCGGTGTAAAATGTAGATGTAGTGTAGAATCTAGCTTATAGTCTAGTCTATAGTCTAGTCAATAGTCTAGTCTATAGTCTAGTCTATAGTCTAGTCTATAGTCTAGTCTATAGTCTAGTCTATAGTCTAGTCTATAGTCTAGTCTATTGTCTAGTCTTTAGTCTAGTCTAGTCTATAGTCTAGTCTATAGTCTAGTCTATAGTCTAGTCTATAGTCTAGTCTATAGTCTAGTCTATAGTCTAGTCTATAGTCTAGTCTATAGTCTAGTCTATAGTCTAGTCTATAGTCTAGTCTATAGTCTAGTCTATAGTCTAGTCTATAGTCTAGTCTATAGTCTAGTCTATAGTCTAGTCTATAGTCTAGTCTATAGTCTAGTCTATAGTCTAGTCTATAGTCTAGTCTATAGTCTAGTCTATAGTCTAGTCTATAGTCTAGTCTATAGTCTAGTCTATAGTCTAGTCTATAGTCTAGTCTATAGTCTAGTCTATAGTCTAGTCTATAGTCTAGTCTATAGTCTAGTCTATAGTCTAGTCTATAGTCTAGTCTATAGTCTAGTCTATAGTCTAGTCTATAGTCTAGTCTATAGTCTAGTCTATAGTCTAGTCTATAGTCTAGTCTATAGTCTAGTCTATAGTCTAGTCTATAGTCTAGTCTATAGTCTAGTCTATAGTCTAGTCTATAGTCTAGTCTATAGTCTAGTCTATAGTCTAGTCTATAGTCTAGTCTATAGTCTAGTCTATAGTCTAGTCTATAGTCTAGTCTATAGTCTAGTCTATAGTCTAGTCTATAGTCTAGTCTATAGTCTAGTCTATAGTCTAGTCTATAGTCTAGTCTATAGTCTAGTCTATAGTCTAGTCTAGTCTATAGTCTAGTCTATAGTCTAGTCTAGTCTATAGTCTAGTCTATAGTCTAGTCTATAGTCTAGTCTATAGTCTAGTCTATAGTCTAGTCTATAGTCTAGTCTATGTCTAGTTATAGTCCAGTCTATAGTCTAGTCAGTTATAGTCTAGTCTAGTCTAGTCTATAGTCTAGTCTAGTCTAGTCTAGTAGTCGTCTAGTCTATAGTCTAGTCTATAGTCTAGTCTATAGTCTAGTCTATAGTCTAGTCTATAGTCTAGTCTATAGTCTAGTCTATAGTCTAGTCTATAGTCTAGTCTATAGTCTAGTCTATAGTCTAGTCTATAGTCTAGTCTATAGTCTAGTCTATAGTCTAGTCTATAGTCTAGTCTATAGTCTAGTCTATAGTCTAGTCTATAGTCTAGTCTATAGTCTAGTCTATAGTCTAGTCTATAGTCTAGTCTATAGTCTAGTCTATAGTCTAGTCTAGTCTAGTCTATAGTATAGTCTATAGTCTAGTCTATAGTCTAGTCTATAGTCTAGTCTATAGTCTAGTCTATAGTCTAGTCTATAGTCTAGTCTATAGTCTAGTCTATAGTCTAGTCTATTTAGTCTAGTCTATAGTCTAGTCTAGTCTATTAGTCTAGTCTATAGTCTAGTCTATAGTCTAGTCTATAGTCTAGTCTATAGTCTAGTCTATAGTCTAGTCTATAGTCTAGTCTATAGTCTAGTATATAGTCTATAGTCTAGTCTATAGTCTAGTCTATAGTCTAGTCTATAGTCTAGTCTATAGTCTAGTCTATAGTCTAGTCTATAGTCTAGTCTATAGTCTAGTCTATAGTCTAGTCTATAGTCTAGTCTATAGTCTAGTCTATAGTCTAGTCTATAGTCTAGTCTATAGTCTAGTCTATAGTCTAGTCTATAGTCTAGTCTATAGTCTAGTCTATAGTCTAGTCTATAGGCTAGGCTAGTCTATAGTATAGTAACCGTAACGTATTTCGACTATAGTCTTACCTATGGTCTCGACCAATGTCTTATCTACATATACATTTTCTCGACTACAGTTTATTCTTCTAATACCAACATTCCAAATATATCTTAAATTATGAAAATGTATTCATTTAACTTACCCTAATTCTATAATCATTGACTATAACCGATGTATAAAAGAGTAAAGCAAATTTTTCATCCATGACACTTTCAGTGCCTTTCTTTTCAGCACGTTTGATTTTCTTCAATTGCATTGTTCTGAAAAAATACAAGTTATATTTCAAAATTAATACATATAACTACAAAACTGTAATTAACTTAAAATTTAAAAAAAAGAATTGTTAATATCAATTTTTTTCTAACATATTTTAATTTGCAATATTTAGAACCAAAAAAAAATCATTTAAAAGCAAATACTACGTGCTAATATGCAAAAGACATTTTCTATTAATGTTGTAATTAATAATAATAATAATAATAATAATAATATTATTTTTTTATTACAATTACCTGAAACTGGCTGAAAAAACTCTGGTCTGATTATTATATTCCATAGTACCCATATTGTTTACAATTTCACCAGATGATGCTGGATTACTGCTTGATGACTCAGACATGGTACGTTGTGCGGAATGACGTTGAGCCTGTGCCTCTGTAATAAAGAAAATAGATTTATTTTGTTAAACATTTCAACAATTGTATAAATTGTTAATAAATTATATCATGTTTATTTGTTGTTATTGTTGACAGAGTTTATATTTTATCTTCTTATTAGAAAAATTGTATATTAAAATGTACATAAATAAGCTGACTAGGTTGACGTTGTTAGATAAAGTTTAAAAATTTATAAAACAATTTGCTTTAAATTTAATAAAATTTTAAATTTTAAAAACAATATGGGAATATCTGTATTTAAGAAAAAATATTTATCAAAATTGTGAGTTTTGATGAAAACCAAAACTAGTGATTAAATCTAAAAATAATTGTAGGTTGAATTGCAATGGTTTAGAATTTTGCTATAAATATTTAAAAATTTTTTACATTTTATACAAAAAATTCTTTACATTTCAGTTAAATTTAGAATGACTGCAAACAGAAGCAATTAAATGAATTCAACAATTAATTGAATTTTATAATATTTTACGTTCTGTTTTGTAAAAAATCTTTCAACTTAAAATAATGGAGTTTAAATATGAAGTATCAATCATTTTTCGATTGATGTAAATATTCCATAGAATTATTGTCCAATTTATAACGCTGCCTACAGAAAATTTTAAACTATTGAAACAACATTGTATACGGATTATGTTTTATATTTTTTCTATAGTAGAATAATAAAAGAGACTTTAATTTTTTTACAAATATAAAATTATTATTTTACTTTAACACATAATGCAATTGCATATAAAATTACCAAACAAAAATACATGTAACCTGATATTCGAACTAAAAATAAACTGCAACATTTGTACTCTATTAACAATTTAATTATGAGGTATGTTGTAATAAAAGAAAAAAGAAAATATAATTAAAACAAATATTTGTATCTAATTAAATTGTTTGTTTTTTTTTTGTGTTCATTATTTGTTTGTGTTACAAAAATCTCTTTTTACATTAAAGTTTTATATTTCAAAAATAAAGTTGCCTTTTGGTATGTTACAAACTTAATTTTTCCCAACATAAATCAAGGTAATGACTAGTACTTAGTGAGGAGATTACTTTTTATGACTACTATATACCGCCTGCATTATTTAGATGGAGTCTAGCAATTACTTACAAATAACTATATAAGTAATAACATTTTGTTTTCGAATGTTGTTCTTTACAAAAACGAACAATCCCAAACTAATAATAGAAGCAGCGGAAAAATCTAATTTCCTTACTCCTTACTTGTTGGTGATCGTAGTAAGTACTTATCTAACTCCTTACTTGTAAGCGAGCGTGTTTCCAATATTATCATCGCGTTTTTTAAAATAACTTAAAATACTATTGTGTAAGTAAATTTTAGCATTTTAACCCCTTACTTTTCAAGAAAAGTTTTTGCTGGGTCGTGTTCTTAATTCTACAATTCAATCATACATATTTATGTAAACTAATTAGTTGACGTAATTTAAACAAATTTTGAAATTTTTTCACACAAAAATTAGGGAAAGTAAAACGAATAGAAACCAATATTAAACTTAATCCTTTTCCTATTATGATACATTGCAGGAACACTCGGACTAAAGACTTTTAGTCAACAACAATATGCTGTAAAACTAAAAGTTGTTAAACATTCAAAATTTATTAAACTTTTACTTTCAGATAACTAGTAACACAGATCAACGATGGAAAAGTTTTTTTACATAACTTTAACTAAACCCATTATTATAAGGTGTGCTGATTCTGAAAATTGAAAAAAGTCGTGGAATATGTCTGCGAAATTTAAAGATTCTAGCTCTAATTGTTTCCCAGATAAACGATTTTTTTAATTTAATTTATAGAGGAGGTGCCACGCCCCCTATTGCTAAATCGCCAATTTATTTTCCAAATGTTAACATAAATGTAAAATTAGTTCTTGCCAAATTTGAGGATTTTAGCTCCAATAGTTTCTCAGATATACGAATTATTGCATTTAATTGATATGAGAGGTTCCAAGGCCCCTAATGAAAGTCCGCCCATTTTACCCGGAAATATTCACATGAATGTTAAAGTTCTTCGTGTTAAATTTGAAGAATCTAGCTCTAATAGTTTCCCAGATAAACGAATTTTAATATTTAATTCATATGGGATGTGCCACGCCTTCTATCGCTAGTCCGCCCATATTTTGTCCTAAATATTCATGTTTATACTAAAGTGTCTACGAAAAATTTAAGGACTCTAGCTGTTATATTTTCTCAGATAAACGAATTTATTATTATTTTTATATGGACACACCCACTATATCTAAACGGCCTATGTAGCCATATGTTAATATGTATGTCAAAGTTTTCCATGCTAAATTTGAGGACTCTATCTGTTGCAGTTTCTGAGATCTGTCACATTTAATACTTATTTTGTATGTGGGCGTGGTACCTCGCCCATATAATAACGGTCGATATTTATAATGACATCAAAAATATCGAAATTAACCCTTAAACATAATTTTTTAATTATATTAAATTTGTCTAATATTTTGAACTAAATATTCAAGAAACATCAATATCAGATTCGGTCTCAGCACCTAAAAATAAATGAAATCGAATCAGATTGCCTTCAAAAGCTTTTCCAAATCTTCATTTTGTTGACCTGTGTTGAACTTGTCACATTCCAAACGACAAATTTTGAAACAAGCAGTAATATAGTGAATTTGTTTATTTGTTCTGAAACTTGTAAATAACTATCTTATCCATGAGTCCATATACGACGCAACATTTGCATATTTTGGTTTTCTTGCTCATCACTTATTAAATCAAATTATTTAAAAAACATTTTATTTTAACCTAAAGCGCTGAATTTTCTTCATATACTCGTTCATTTAATTTTCCCATTATTAAGTAATTACACACTTTAATTAACTAAATAATACACATTGTATGTTAAAACTCACCTGATAATATAATACATTCCACTGTAGGACTATTAACACTTATACCCAATTGTGGTCCAATAAGCCATCGTACTGCAGCTGCAAATCTATTATTAAATGAGAAAATTAATTCGAATTAATTAATTAATTATGTGTTAAATATGATAAATTGTGAGCATCAGATGGTAAATGCAAAACCCATACAGGGGAAGTATTTTAAAAATATCCGAAAAAAAAGTTTTGCATATGAAAATAACGCGTATAATGTGTTAACCCAGCAACATTTGGGTTTAGAAATAAAATTAATTATTTTTAATACTTTTTAATAATAAAAAAATTACTTTCTCCTGAATATTATAGATAATTTTAAAATAATGTGAAATAGATTTCAAATGTAAAGCAAATGTAAAACTTCAGTTTGATAAACTTTCGAAAATAATTTTTTAAATAACAAAACTGCTAAAATCACCGACATGAAAGTTTGCTGGGTTTGCATACTAATTAAAATAAAATATGATTTTATTACATTCTTTTACCTGGTATTGGTTTTCATGACCTGTGGCGGTTGTTTTTCAACAATAAACGATGACAACACCAACAACTGTTGAGCCTGACGTACGCGATTTATCATTTCACCAATGTCATCATTATTATCCAAACGTATCATATTCATCATATTGACATTTTCCAATATTCGACCAACCATTTCAACCAACAGCTCAATGCAACGTTGTATATCATCCAAATTATCACGGAATGGTGCACCATTACCAGCCAGGGCCTGATTACGTTGCCAGTTTTTCAATTCGGTTATCACCGTTGTTTGTATGGTGGTATAAGTGTTGATGATACGATCTAAATCGCCCAATATGCTGCTACGTGTTGTGGCTAACATGCGACATTGATCCTGTAGCTGTAAATCGTTTGTTTGTATTTCTTGCGGTGACATATGGGGCTTACGTTGATTGTAGGTGTTAAAACAGTTATGAAATGTTTCATAATTACTACGAAACTGTGTCATTTCAGCAAAGACCGCACTAATATCCATGTTTAATTTGGTTATAAGGCCGTGCAGGGCGTAGAGGTCATTGCCGACATAACCACTTCCACCGTTGACGGCGGATCCGATTGTGGGCGTGTGCATAGCTGTTGCAACAGGTATGGCGCCACCACCCAACATGGCGGCATTACCACCGCCAGTGCCATTAATACCAACACCACTCATGTATGAAAACTGTGGCATTTGGTCGACCAGCTGTATTTCACGCTGAAGACCGCTACGAAAGTGTGTGTATAACTCCACGGCTGGTGTTTGTGTTACGCTTGTGCAAATTTCCGCAAGTTTAAATTTCATCAAATTATCGTTGCTAAGTGGAATGAGTTTCTGTTTCAGTTCCTCATAGAATTGATGGGCTATTCGTTCATAAAGTTCAGTCGATGGAGTATTGATACGTTCTGACCTAAAGAATGAAAGAAAGAATTAATGAATTAGAAAAAGATTTATTAAAGAGTTTAAAATATGTGTGTATGTCAGAGACAGAGTAACTCTGAAGCATAGTTGATTTTCATGTAATCTTCAGATTGTATAAATCATGCAGTAAAGGGTATAAAAAGTAACGATTTAATAATCTTCCTCAATACGTGATAATTTAAAAAATTTAGCAATAAATTATATTGAGTACTTAATATTTTTCCTCCATTTTTTATTTAAATATTTTCACGTTAAAGATTATTATTACCACTTAGTTTAATTTTCTTCCATTTAAGCCGCTTAATAAAATATGAAACAAAGAAGCCTCTGCAACCAAATAATAATTCTTAAACTCTAAGAAACTATCAATGCAACATTGGCTGCAGAGTGGGAAAACAAAGAAAAATAAAATGATTAAAGGATTCCCTGAATGAAGTGCAAAAAATGCTGTTTATATTACCGTCACAATGATTGTGAATATAATTAAATAACATATTCGTAAGAGGTTTAAAGGCTCAATGCAGTGCACAAGAAAAGAAAGTCAACGAATATATTTCGTTGAATTTTTTACAGGTTTCCTGCATATGTTTATACTCGTATTACCGCCACAACAATAATAATTGTGAATATAATTAAAGGACATATTTATAAAAGGTTTAAAATTCTTAATACTTATAAGATACAAGAAAGTCAATCAAATCAATATATTTCGTTGAATTTTTACAAGTTTCCTGTTTATGCAAAAATTATTTCAAGGAAATATGCAGCAGGCATTTAAGTAAATTTTGTATAAAATAAAATTCTTAAAAACTATTTAAAAAAAAAAAAACAATTTACCAGCGAAATATTTAAGTTTTCCATAAAAAAATACTGGTCATTTAATTTATGTTTAAACAGTAGCCTTAATGTCTGGTGGGATACTTACATTATTCTTTCTTCAATCCATGGTGCTAAATAGATTCGTATATCGGCTAACCCTTTTTCATCGTAATATTGTATCATGGATTGTTTTACTTCCGGATTGCACGCAATACGTTTCCACAAATTCATTGTGACAAATTGTGTTTGTGCTGCGCGTAATGCGTGCCTTTTTCTTACAAATAGAAACTAAATTGAATTCTAATTTTGTTTCAATAATAGAGAGGCGCTGCCGTTTAACGGGAATCTCCCACTAAAGTTTCTAAAACAATATAAATGATGCCCCACTATTAGTTGGAGAATAATATCCTTGTTGTGGTTGATGTTATTAGAATTTTTGTCCAGTTTTTTTTAGAGTTAAGTTTCCAATGCATTCAATGTCATCATAAAGGCATTATACATATATTCGCTTATGATAATGAATGGTTTTTTATTTAATGTTTATGGATGATTTTGTTTTTAGCCAATTGAACGATGGATCAATGATTTTTTTTTAATATGATGTCAGTGTAATTTTGAATATATTCTGATATATGATCTGAAAATGAAATACATAAGGGTATAAATTATTAATGAGTATTAGTAAAATTTTTAATTTTAGAGTTTGTTTTTAAATGAGAATGAGTGTTTTATTTTAATATGTGATTAATATATCATTATAGCACATTGCAACTAAATATATGAATGTAAATTCTAAAATATACAAATTGTAGCCATAATTATTTACATAGACTAAAATTAAAAACTTTCTATGTAATGCAGTTTTTAATGGGTATAGATTACGTTAGTTTAAAATGAATATTATTAAGAGCAAAATGTTTTTTGTTTATTAAGCTTTGGTCCTTAAAAAAACAACAAATTAATGTTTCATATATAAATTGTATAACGACAATTAAAGTTTAAAATCAGAAAATTTAAAATATTCTGACATCTTAGGGCCAATCTTTAGGTAAACGATTAGAGATTAATTTAAAATTAATCCTCGAATGTTGTTTTTGGGTCTCAGTTAGTTAATTTTGTAAATTTGCTAGTTTAAGGGCGGGTTTCTTACTACTCAGTTAAACTAGGCTTAACTTGCTGTTAGATTAAACTGGGAACAAATTTAGGCGGACTTTAACCGATGATTGTGTTTTTCAGTTATGGATTTAAGTTCAGTTAACTTTGTTAGTATTGCCAACTTTTCACTCAAAAACATAAATAATGAACAGCTGTTTTTTGCAAATAATACATTTGTAAAATGAAAAATTTTGGAAAAATGTTAAATAAACATTTAAAACAATAATAAATAAAACAAAACAAATCAGAAAATTGCAATTAACTTAAAATATTAAGTTTTTGTTCTTCCGAAATCATTGTTTTATTGTTTTCGTTAATTGTGTCTTCTCACTTATAACTTAAGTTTAATTGGCCAATAACACTCAGTTAAACTAAGATAATAAGGGCCGGTTTTTCAGATAAAGATAATCTACATTCTTTGTTTAAACCTAGTTTAATATATGTTTTGTGTTTTTCAGTAAACAGTAACGTTACTTATTATCTTAGTTTAACTGAGTGTTATTGGCCAATTAAACTTAAGTTATAAGTGAGAAGACACAATTAATAAAAACAATAAAACAATGATTTCGGAAGAACAAAAACTTAATATTTTAAGTAAATTGCAATTTTCCAATTTGTTTTGTTTTATTTATTATTGTTTTAAATGTTTATTTAACATTTTTCCAAAATTGTTCATTTTACAAAAGTATTATTTGCAAAAAACAGCTGTTCATTGTTTATGTTTTTGAGTGAAAAGCTGGCAATACTAACAAAGTTAACTGAACTTAAATCCATAACTGAAAAACACAATCATCGGTTAAAGTCCGCCTAAATTTATTCCGAGTTTAATCTAACAGCAAGTTAAGCCTAGTTTAACTGAGTAGTAAGAAACCCGCCCTAAGAGCAAAATGTTTTTTGTTTATTAAGGACCAAAGATAAAAAACAACAAATTAATGTTTCATATATAAATTGCATAACGACAATTAAAGTTTAAAATCAGAAAATTTAAAATATTCTGACATCTTAGGGCCAATCTCTAGGTAAACGATTAGAGATTAATTTAAAATTAATCCTCGAATGTTGTTTTTGGGTACTCAATTAGTTAATTTTGTAAATTTGCTAGTTTAAGGGCGGGTTTCTTACTACTCAGTTAAACTAGGCTTAACTTGCTGTTAGATTAAACTCGGAACAAATTTAGGCGGACTTTAACCGATGATTGTGTTTTTCAGTTATGGATTTAAGTTCAGTTAACTTTGTTAGTATTGCCAACTTTTCGCTCAAAAACATAAATAATGAACAGCTGTTTTTTGCAAATAATACATTTGTAAAATGAAAAATTTTGGAAAAATGTTAAATAAACATTTAAAACAATAATAAATAAAACAAAACAAATCAGAAAATTGCAATTAACTTAAAATATTAAGTTTTTGTTCTTCCGAAATCATTGTTTTATTGTTTTCGTTAATTGTGTCTTCTCACTTATAACTTAAGTTTAATTGGCCAATAACACTCAGTTAAACTAAGATAATAAGTAACGTTACTATTTGCCGAAAAACACAAAACATATATTAAACTAGGTTTAACCAAAAGAATGTAGATTATCTTTATCTGAAAAACCCGGCCTAAGCGCTCAGTGGAGAGGGTTTAAACTTGAGCAAGAAGTGCAAAAGTGTAAACAGCTGATGCCAAAAAATTAATACAGTTTTTATAAAAACAAACATTAAAATATTTTATTTATTGATTAATATAGATTATGGAGACTTTAAAATACAAGTTTTTTTGTTTTTAAATTATGTTTTCGTTAATTTTCATATTACACTAACAATTGTCTTCTTCATCTTTTAACAGTGACGTTTTCTGTTGTTTTGTTAGGCAACACTGCGAAGTTTAAATTTGTACTCAAAAATATCAATTGGATAACATTTATTTTTAGATTAACTAATCTGATTGTTAATTGTTATTTAATTGCCACCGCAAAAACCCACTCTTAGGGCCAATCTTTAAGTGAAAGATTAGCGATTAAATTAAAATTAATCCTCGAAAGATGTTTTTGAGTACTCAATTAGTTAATTTTGTTTGCAAGTTTAGGCGCCCAATGGAGCTGATTTAATCTTAGGCACGAAATGCAAAAGTGTAAACAGCTGATGCAAAAAAAAAATATAAAATTTTTATAAATATAAACATTAAAATGTTCTATTTATTGATTAGTATAAATTATGGACACTTCAAAATACATGTTTTTTGTTTTTAATTAAAGTTTTCATTAATTTTCATATTAAATTTACAATTGTCTTCTTCTTTTTTATAAAATATGCATTGTTTTGATAACAAACAGTGAAGTTTTCTGTTGTTTTGTATGGCAACACTGCGAAGTTTAATCTTGTACTCAAAAACATCAAAGGGGATTAACATAAGATTAAATTTATTTTTAGATTAACTAATCTGATTATTTAATTGGCATTTGTTTACCATCTCAAAAACCCGGTCTTAAGGGTTAATGTTAAAGTTATTGTTTTTGCAGCATTTTTCTCAGCAAAAAAGCATATTTTAATTATGGGCAAAGAAAAAAATAGAACTATTTTCAAACTTATTATATAAAATTGAAATGAACAAAGTTTTTTAGGAACAAAAATCTAACAATTTTGATAAGGTTCATAATTGGTAATTAGGGTCGATTTATTGTCAACAAATCGATCACTCTTCCATTTTCTATACTATACATGACGGTCCATGATTGGGGCCCTTATTATAATAATCTCCCTGATTTTCATATTAAAATTGAATCCAAATCTAGGATATTCACCCCTATAGTCAATAAGATTTTTACGTGAAATATGCTCCCTTATTACTTTTTTCGTTCACTAACTTTTTTGACGTGAAAAAATTTTCCCTATTGTGAAATTTTTTTATAGAATTTTGTAAACATTGAACAGCTGTTCCATACAAAATCAATTATTGTGAATGAATTGTTCACAGTAAGTTTACGATAGCAATTTTCTCTTCGAGGGGAATGGATATTTCAAGGGAACAAAAGTTTCATATCTATTGACGATAGTGATGATTGTTTCTTAAAGTTTGAATAAACATCGTTTTTGGTCATATCTCAGATGCTATAGCTGTGCGAAGACACTTTTATTTATAAGATTTTTTTTATGTCATTGAAAGTGCAATCTTTTATTTTCTCTTCGAGATATCTTAACCTTAAGCTTTCTTCATTTCGCCTTTATTTTATGAAAAACTTTTATGTGAAAATTTTTTATAATTTTCCCATTAAAATACCTTGAATTGAATTGTTTGAGATATTGTCCGTTGAAGTTTTTGCTGTAATAAGGTAATATGTATACATTTCAAAAGTTAAGTTATCTCGAAGGAAGAAAAAGATATAGCACCGGTTAAACCTTTATTTAAAAGTCGACAGATTGGACTTTAAGATGACATAAGATATTTTATAAACAAAGTTTAATTGGCGCTGTTATAGAGTCTCATATATGAGCAAAAACGGAGATTTTTTCAGATATCGTTTTCAAACTTCATGAAAATCGGGAAAATCTGAAGTTATGAATAAATTCTGTGGCCAGATTCGGATTCAGCGCTGCTCAGTCCTTTAGAAAAGTATACCTTGGCCTCTAAATTGTTCTGAATCGTTTAAATATCTTTTCCATGAATCCATTATTTGACGCACAAAAAAATAACCAAGTTGAGAGTAAGACAGCGAACTAACAAACAAGAGACTCAGATTCGGATTTTATGTGAGCAATTTTTTTGTGTGTAAAACAAAATAACTTTTTAACTGCCTATTCGTAAGTACTTATTTAAGTAGTAATATGTAAGCGAGGGTGGTGAGTACTTGCCTTCAATGTCATAAACGTGTTAATATAATGAGTTAAAATGAAGAAGTAGTGAAGCGTTTTTTTACAGCTTTTTAACCCAATACTTCTCCATGTAAGGTTTTGCTGGGTCAGTAGTTAACAGGTGAATACAAAGTACTAGCAAGCAAACACATTGAATACATTGTTGTTGTTTTTATGGACCGATTGTGCTGATTTTAAATAGGAAACTTCTTGAATGCATGCCTGATAGAATTACTTAAGATTGAAATTCTAAAGATCAACTGACAGACAGACGAACGGACAACGCTTAATCGACTTCGCTATCTTTAAGGATCTAAAGTATACATATATACTTTATAGGATCGGTAAATTATATTGTAAAAACTACAAACGGAATGAGAACTCTCTTACATATATATACTTTTCTCACGAATGTGAGGGATATAAAAATAACTCATCTTAAATATCGATTAGCCCTAACAGCAAAAACAAAATATACTTTGGAAGTATGTAGGTAATAATATTCATGGATTCTAACAACAAAAACATATACATAATACATCTTCAAATCGAAACAAAACAAAAACAATTCAAAAAGGCTAACTAATATGTAGTAGAAAGAGAGCATTCAGCCAAATGCTCAAAAAAATGCTTACACAAAATAGGTACTTAT